GCTGTGAGATCAGACTGAGGGACAAGGCACGGGCCGAGCCGCGGGATGGGCGGCACAGCTGGCACGAGGAGGCCGGCGCCGAGAAGCAGTTCAAGCGGAGGAGCTGCCAGATGGAGTTTGAGGAGACCATGTCCGAGGGCAGGGCCCGGGAAGAGCTGGGCAAAATCGGCAAACAATCCAGCTTTTCGGGCAGCATGGAGATCATCGAGGTATCCTGACACACACCCCCCGGGGCACCTGGAGAGCGGGGACGGGGCGGGGGGATATTTAAGCTGGGGGGAGCACGCGCTGAAACCGAAGCGAAGGTGGATGAGTCTTTCCAGAGTCAGGAAACATAACGGCGGATGCTTAGTGTCCCTCCTGCACCCACCCCTGTCCTTCCCCCCATCCCAGCCCTCGGAGACCCGCGCTCGAAATTTGGGCATAAAATTTGAGCGGGAAGGGGCAGGGGTTGCAATTTTAGCTGTGGGGATGGGGCACAACGTCTGTGGGGGCACCATGGCCGCCCCTTCCCTGCACCCCGGTGCACTAAGCATGCTCCTCCATGTTTCTCTGGCTAAGTATCCTAAAAATGCTGCACTGGAGCAGCCCTATACATATATAAATATATATTATATATAATATAAAGAAAAAAACCCGAAACCACACACACAAAGGAAAAGGTAAACGGTTTTACTGCAATTTTTATTGAGACGTAAATAATATTTCAATTTTTTTGTTTTGTTTTTAATTTATTGAAGCTGTCCATTCTGGCAATGATTTGCAGACAATGTGGGGCGGTACTTTCAGCTCTATTTTTACTGTGTATGGTATTTAAATCTGAAATACGAGTTTCTAAGCAATATCTGAGGCCTGTGGCTCCTTCTATAGCTCATGTCGACGACAAAAATTTCCCCCCCTTCCCTCCGGGCACAGCGACAAGGGGACAGGAGACTCTTCTGGGCACTTTTTCTAGAAACAAACAAGTGAATGAGCAAACCATAAAACTTTCTTACAACACAAACTGAGCCAGAAAACTCTCTTCTGGAAGCTGCTGCCGCTTCTTCACCCCTTGGTCTCTGTTTGCTTCTCCTCATCCCCATCCTGGCCATCATCCCCATCCCGGCCATCATCCCATCCCAGCCATCATCCCCATCCTGGCCACCAGCCCACCCCAGCTGTGCACCCCTCCCCTCCCCTGGGCTGCCCATCCTCTCTAGACCTTGCTGGAGAAGGCGAGAAGGCAGTCCCCCAAAGCGGAGGGAAGGGTGCCGGGTGTCACCTCCAGCTGCACAGGGAAGGGGAAGGTGTCAGAGGCCGCTGCAGCGGAGGCAGGGAGGGGACGCTGGCTGTAGTCGGGATTTCTTGTCGGGGGGTGTCTTGCCTGCCCACCCCAGCCCCTCAGCTCCCCCCTCTCCTCAGCCACCTTGCTTGGGAGGTATGGGCACTGTTTTCCCTTTGTGGGCAGTGGTTTTTCAGACTTCCCCCATCCTTCGCTTGACATCTGAGAAACTCATCGGGAGCATGTTTGCAGGTGCCGGGACTCCCCCCGGCCCTGTTCCCTTCCGGAGTGGCTCCCCCTCCTTCTAGCGGCTGATAAGCCGGCCGGACACGAAGCTCTGCAAGCACACGGGGGCACAACCAACTTATTTTCAGAGGCATTTGGCTGCTTCCCCCTATCCTGGTGGGGAACCAAGCTCTTGCCCCCGAACCCCGATGTCAGGCTTGCTGAGAAGCTGCTTTCTGGAGCTGTAGGCACTGAACTGCCTCTGCTGCAAAGCACATCTCTCCCTGCGGCTGTCCTTGCTTTCTCCCTCGTCTCGTGCTAGTTTGCAAAGCTAATACCTCAGGGGTCTCCGTTTGTGTATGTCTGTGTCCTGTGTCATCCTTGGAGTGTTGTTTTTTTCTTTTCTGGGTCCACACAGTTTCTCTCACTTTCCCTCATTGTTCATTTCTATCTTTAAATCAAACTACATGTGACAAAACCAGATTATCTCAGGTTTGAAACTGAACACAAAGCAGAGGCGTGAGGAGCTGCAATCATGCGAGGAGGGGCTGCTCACTTCAGCTGGTTGCTTCCCCAACCACCTCTGTGTCCACAGTCAAGGCAACTCTCTCCAGAGGCTCCTCACTCTCTTCAGGCTGGCTTTAGTTTTTCTGGTTTTCCATGGGGCTATTTGGTGAGATGCTGGGGACCCCCACATGCTCCTGCCTGGTTTCCTGAGGTGTGGCAGGGAGGAACAGGGGTGGCTGGACAGCCAGGGACCACCGGCCTCTCTCCCTACATGGCTTTTGATGACAGGGCGAGAGATCTTGTAGTCATCCCTCGGAAGTCCGCCATCATTGCCTCCAGCAACCACCTCAAACCAGCTCAGTGTTGCCTACCTGAACATTTCTCCCTTCTGCCCATGAAAGAATGAAGACACTATTCTCTAAGCTCCCTTTTTAGATTCCAACAAGCATTTGGGTCCATCCCATGAGCTGGTCAGCTATCCAGGAGCTGCGCTCACAGCAGGATCTCCTAAGTGGGCATTGATGTCAAGTCCAAGGAGGGAGGGAAAAAGGCTTCGTCCTCCCTCCAGTAAGCCCCTTGAGCCCAGGGTTAGTGTCACCTACCTCCTGCCCAAGCAGTGCTGCTGGTCCCCCTTCCCCTCCTGCTGCCCTTGGCAGTGGCATCTCTTCCAAAACATGCCAGGGGTCATTGCCTGCTGATCTCTGTTCTGTGTTGCTCAGTTCCTGCCCATCCCATAGTCCTCCAGGGTTGGTGCCAGTACGGATCAACTGAGCTCAGCTCAGGCAAGTTGCTGGCAGGAGCTGGTTAGGTGTAGCTTTGGGCAATGGAGACGGGGCTAGATGGCTTCCCAAGGGATTTAGTAAAAAGAGGACAACAGGTCAGCACAGCCAGGTGGGGAGGTGAGATGAGGCACTAGCGAGCTCTCATGTAACTTCATCCTGTTAGCTGATACGGTGTGTTATGAGCACAAAAAAGCAGCTGGAGTAAGTCAGGAAGGAGAGGGTGCGTGTTGTAAACGAGACTCAGTGTCTGCAAAGAGGCAGATACATGATTTGCTTTTTGCCTTCTCCACTCTGCCATCCCCTGGATGCTCCTCAGCCATGTTTGAGGCTTTAGGCACTACAGGCTCTCCTCTGAAACCAGAGCGAAGAGAAGTAGATTTTAAGATTAGTAGATCATAACTGCCAAGAGACATTCATGACCCACCTCTGAAGCCCTATTTTGACGTATTTTGCATTCATCCTTCCCCTTTACATTGGGCACGTGCACTAGAAGCCCTCTCGTGCAGCATTTTAAGGCTACATTCAGAAAATATGCCTTGATGGAGTTGCCCTACCTGAGTGTCTCCTGCCAGTGCTGACCCAAAGCCATCAGGGTCACTGAGTGGCTTGCAGTTAACTTAAATTATTTTTTTAAATCAGACTCTGTCTAATAGACCACTTTGTCCATGAATCAGAGCTGTGAATTACCACAAGGATGGAAGTGCCGGCTGGTAGCCCTCCCCATCATCTGTCAGCCAGATCTTTTTATGGGCTCTCACAGCCAGATGACCCAACCTAAAGCCTCACTGGAACGAAAATCATCTTTCCATGCTGATCTGATGAGGGTGCATTTATCCGTAGGGACTCACAGTGGCAGAACTGTGAGCAGAGGAGAGGAAAGGTCTCCCCTTTCAAGGGAGAAAGAGGCAAAGCTGTTGAGTGCCCAATGGTCACGGCAGTGGCAATGGCTGAGCTTTCCACCACATGAAGGATGGAGCAAACCATAGCTTTCCTTCAGGCTAGAAGGGACATTGCATCCTTGCCTCCAGCCCCCATCTGTTCCTAGGGCTGAGCCCCCCGGCCACCTCCTTCCCAGCTGCCTTTTGGGGGACTGAACGAAGGCGGCAGGAGGGCAGCCATCAGGTCGGCAACACTGAGCCAGAGGCTTGGGTCAGAGCAGGCTCGTCCCCAGCCTCGGCAGCAGCGTCCCCAGCCCCTGCTGCCTTCCCAGCCCTTTTCTTTGCCTGTTTCTTTGGACGTCCATCCCCATTACATCTGCCCCTTAGGAGACGATGCCCCCTAGAACCCCCTCCTGCTGTCCCCTTCCCCCTCCCATCCTTAATACTAATGATAATAAGCTATCAGTGTTGTCATTGCAATCTATGAATGATAGATTTGAGTATTTATGATTATTATTATGATTATTATGGTTATGATTCTGTACTTTTTTGCTTCTTACTCTTTGTATGTTGCTCTTTGTTTCTCTGTTGTGAATAAACGCAAGGCCCCATCACACCTTCTCTCTGCTCCCCGCAGCCCGCCTGGGGCTGCGCTCAGCACAGATCCCAGCTGTCCCAAGCTCCAGGAGGCAAACCCAGCCCGGCAAACCCTTGCCAGGGTCACCCTTGGAGGGTGGTGCTTCCTGAGGGTAAAAAGACACCCAAACCCAGGGCAGATCCATTCTCTTAACTCTTCCCTTCCCTTCCTGCGGCTCCTCTCTGCGGTAACAGGCGCCTGCGCGTGTTTGCAGGAGGCAGGAACCCACTGGCACCAAGAACAGAGGATTAAATGGCAAAAGCTTCAAAGCTTTTGTAACAGCTTTAAGGAGCATGTGCCAAGCACCCAGCTCATGGAGTCAGCTCCCTCCAGGTTGTGGTCCTCTCACCTTCTTCTGCTGGCTGCACCTACAGGCTGCATCGTCACCTGCAGGAGCTTCTTGCTCTGCCATCGCAGCTAGTTTGCAAAGCTCGACCCACTTAGCCAAGCCCATGCACTGGTGCCCAGTTTTAGCCACATGCCCTGGACTTTCTTGGCTGGAATGTCCTCCTCATGCTGGTGAGCTCCCCCTGCCTGGGGACAGCACAGCCTGGGGAGGACACGTAGCTGGTGTTAGAACAAGCTCAGTGGCGGAGCAGCAAGGAGAGATGTGAGTGGCCTCTGGTACCTGGAGGGATTCAGAAAGGGGCTGGGAATGGCTCCTGACATGGGACTTTATCCAACGGCCTTTATCCAACACTGATAAATCGGGGTGTCGTAAGCAGACAGAGTCCAGTGCTTGTTTTTCACACCCACCGCCTGGGCTCCTTTTACAACCTGGAGGGTTCCAGATGGCTGTAAGGTGAAGGAGGAGACATTAGGGGAAGGGAAGAGGAACCCCATCTGCACCATGGTACAAAAAACTCTCCGTACTGCACCAGCCCCATGAAGAATCATTTTAATTTGCCGAATTTAACACTGCCCTTCT